TTGTGTAACATGTAAACATCAGGAGGAGTACTAAAGCAAAATCATTATCTATTTTAAAGCAGTTTTTATCTTAGTAGATGTATAGTCATGTAATACATGTCAGCAGTTTGCTAGGTATATTTTTAAAGATTTTTTTTTTTAATCAGACATTAACATGAAAAAGAAACATAATCAAGCGATATAATCCAGGAATGGCAAGGATAACTCTATAAGAAACACAGTGACGTGTTTTATTTATTGTTCCCACAACTGACAAGTAACAAAATAACATCACATTTCGTATAATTTGATAACTGAACTAGAAATAAAATCTCTATGTAGCATATCAAAAGGGACGTGAAAGTGAACTTTGATTCTTTTATGTGTGTTCTGTTATTCTGCATTTCGATTATTTGTATTTTGTCTCCATTTAAATAGAAGTGTGTGTGTGTTGGGGGGGGGGGGGGGGTTTACTGATAATTAAGTTATACATGAACTTTAATGAGGACCAATAAAAAATTTCCACTCAACTGTGGCCGTTGATCGATCTATTACTGATCGATATCAATGCAAGTGTCTGCCGCTTCATGCTGAATTTCTTTGAAGACGACACGCGGAGATTTTCATAGTCGACGTGGATAAACTCTATATGTATATCATACATACATACTTTATCCTTACTTTTATAAATTTTAGTTTTTAGGGAATTATGCCCGTTAGAATGTATTATAGGCTTCTGAATCCCCTCCCGAGAATTCATGTACATTTTCTGTCGAATTCACTACGCAGATTTAGGCATGTAATTTTCGAGTTTGTTAATCAAATAATGAGTATGTACATGCAAAGTAGCGTGCTTGTCTCTTAGAAAATTAAATTAGCATTGGCCATATGAATATTTTTTTCGTCGAGAAATGGATCTAAACAAATCGCATACGTTTTTTAAAAGGCTTCGGAGATTCACGGTTTTAATTTGAAGCAAAAATTTTCAAGGTTTGTAAAGCGCGTTATGATAAGGCCGTTTCAAGTTGTTTTTTTTTCTATGTGCAGCGTATATGCGGTCGGATTGGTTTTTGAGGTTATGAAATTAAAAACAAACGCAAATTAAAACTGACAAAAACAAAGCTTTGAAACGCAAACACAAAGTTAACTCAAATTAAAATCAACAAATACGAATCTCTGAGATGCATTTTACTCTTTTGGAATTGACATCTCTCTTTTTTAAGTGGTGTTTTTTTATTTCAATAAATTAGTAGTTTAAAACTTAGTTTTATTGCGAGGAGAGGTCCCAGATGATAATAAGAATTCTAGAACTGTTCTGAAAATTTTGTGTTTTTCCCCTTTTGATTTGTGTGTTTTCTCGGATAGGGAGATAGGTTTTCGAATTTAGGATGGACGCTAAACAAGGAAAAAAATTGGAATCGCCTCATCAATTAGGACTCCGAAAGTAACATCTTATAACCGGTCTCCCCTTGTGGTTTAAAATAGAAAGTGAATGTGTGCAAGTATATTGGGGATTATTCCTGGTTAGTGCATTTGACATAAACCATGCAGTAAAGCGGATCCACTGGAATGAATAAATAACGGTTCCTAACATCAAAGAAAAATTAACGCAATTTAACAGACACCTCATAACTCTGAAATAGTGAGTAATTTATACTTTTATCAATAGAAGATACAAAATTAATAGCGCTACCATTTGTTGGTATGGAAAACGGAGAGGGGGTGATGGCTTTTTCATTCCCAAAAGTCCAATTTTGACAATTTTATATGGAACGTTCCATTCTTTTTAATTGATTCATGCATCTATAAAATTTTAAATGTAACTTCAAAGACCATGCGAAAAATGGTTGATGAAGTCTAGCAAATTTTTACATAATTTTTTTCAATAAATTTGACACGCGCACATATATACATGATACAAATTTTAAAAGTACCCACCTTGTCTCGTTTGTATGGATGAATCAAGCTTCATTACTTGTCTGATAAAATCATTTGTAATAAAATTATATTTTCCTACAAATTATTATACTCCTTCCAGCTATCAAAGATACATGTACGATGAATTGAAATAAAAGTTCAAAATTGTTTTCTGGAACACAAGGCAGATTAAAGTAAGTTGTTTCCGGTTCAGAGAATTTACAAATTTCTTTTAACGTAACGTTAAAATCAGTAACGCCATGATGACGTTATCACGTCAAAATTTGTAATTTTTAAAGAAAACTCCCCATTTTTCGAGACATCTGACGGAAAAACGGTATGTGATAATTTTGAAAAATAAAATGTTCTTGAAAGGACACATCGTAGGCATGTTTGTATAAAACTGAAATCAAATTTGGAGACAGGGCCGCCTTGTTATACGTAACTTACCCTGTTCTTTTTGTGGCATCTTTTAAATACTAGTATCTTCTTCTCAAGAACCAATGAACCAGAAAACGTGAAACTTAGTAAAAAAGCATCCTGACATGATGTAGATTCAATTTTTTTTTTCAAAACTTGTTCAAAACTTAGTCCCAGAGGTAAGGTGGGGACACAATATGGGATAAAATTTATACAAAAATATATATTGGAGAAATCTTTAATCATTAAAATCAAGGCTTTGATTATTGATATTAAAGCTGAACACGACTCGTAGAAGCTAGTAATATGTAGTGAAGCGCGAGCACAGATTCCGCTCAGTCAAATATTATACACATATTTACTGGCTATGAGGACAATAGCAAGTTTATCGTTCCCCAAGACAGCAACTATTTCCCGAGGCGCAGCCGAGGGAAATAGTTGCTGTCGAGGGGAACGATAAACTTGCTATTGTCCGAATAGTCAGTAAATAAGTGTTTTATTATACCGAAGCAGTCTTTACTTGTGTTACGTCACAATCTGTATAAAACCAGAAGAGTTCCGAGATGAAAAGCGAGGGAAACAGAATGCTCCCGGTGAATAGTTTAATGACTATTTAACCATGGGCAAATAGCACAAAAACTATTCCACGGTAGGGGCTGTTTGGAAAAAATAGCATTTTTATTCGTAATATTTTTATATAGAAAAAATTCAGAGGTATAATAATTTGGAATATCACCCGTCGTCAAGCAATATTGACTGTTGCAAAGTTCTATCGCGTTGGAGGGCGTGGTTTCATCATTCAGAGGGTAACAGTGTTTTCAACAAATGTTTCTCGACGAGTCAAATTCAAGTAATCTACATGAAAGTATAATATTTCAAAACATTACTAACCGTGTGTTCCTAACTTATTCTTTTACTGCTTCCACAACAAAACTGCATATGTGCATGTCACGAAGCGCTTTGGACCGCATTGTCTTGTTAACCACAGTGGCAACTTATAAATAAGCGAAATTTTCAATGGTCTCAGTTTCATGCCATGGAGGGCTATGGGCGGCGGTTTTTTGGGGAATGTTTTGTTGTGGAAGTAGTAAAAGAATATGCTAGGAACACACGGTTATTAATATTTTGAGATGGCAGTTTAAACGGAGAAATTGATAGAGAAAACTGCGCACTTTTTGTGCGCAATAAATATACACGTTTTTTTTCAATGGATAGCACTGTAGCTCTCCGGTCGTCCATCTTAATTTTTTGAAGACCAGCGAGCTACAGGTCTGCTGCAAGTTCCCTCATTATGAGCATAAAAATAAACCTAAATCTAGGTGTTATTTTCTCCTTTGATTTTCCACGCTGTATCAACAATGTTCTCAATCTATGGACCCTAAGCATAAAAAAGAAATCAAAATATTTGACACCGTTCATTGCTTACTGACTCATGCACAGAAAATACACTAAAAAGTGCTTTGTTTTGAAATAAATGGTTCGATATTAAGAAGCACGGATGTCTTGTAGTCGCAATCAAGTCTTTGCACCATACCTAGCAGTCAATTAAAGGCGCAATGGTATGTTAGTTTAATAGGTTTATGTAGGTGTATTACCTCTAACTCAGGGCTAAATATCTATTATACATTCTAAATTCCTGGTCTCAAGTCGTTATTATTTGTTTTATTTCCTACAAGAAACAGTAATTTACATACAAAGTTTTACTTAACATACTGATAATACGTTATACCAATATGTTACCGTTAATTGGTTCACTTGAAGTCTTTCGCTTCTGTCAAGTTTTCTTCTCCGGCACAATGGAATCCTTGAACAAATTCTTCATTTGATAGTTCTTGTCTCCGATTTGTTTTCCTGATACACAAAACTGAATGCACACATCTTGTGATAGTTCTCTAGTCTCCAAAGTTAATGGTGTTTTGTTGGCCCGCGGAGGAATATGCAAAGATTGCAAATAAGGAAGAAAATCTTTTAAAACATCTGATAATATTCTCGGAAGGCAGATGATGAAAATTATAATAACGTTATAGTGAACATTAGGGACAAAATGAGATTTACATACCAAATTTACTAAGAATTTGTAATTCATTTTTATTGCAGTTTCAAACTTTAGTTTTGTGCTTGCACCTGTTGCTTCGCAGAGTCATCTTCAGCGAGTCGTCTTTCTGCAGTTGCCAACAGATGTATGATCGCTTTGCTAAGTAAACTACATACAATGCAAGAACAACAGGAATATTTAATCCAAAGATTGGTCTTTGAAAATCCTTACACTTGTCTGTAGTGTATACAAAAGGCTATATTTGTTCCTATTTCTTAATTGAATTTAGTTGATGTTTTCTTTTTCTTTTTCAGAATTGTAAAAGAAGCCTTGTGAAACAAATCAAACACGAAAGTAAAAGCAGGACTTCGTTTAGTTTGACCAAGACTGACTTTCAGTCTTAATGTACAGGTAAAGAATCCCAACTGCAACCGGTCTCTTTTGTATGACCGCATTAAAGAGGGTTTTAGTTACATAATAAAGATGAGAATTAGATTGAATTTTTTGTCCTTCTTTACCTTGGTCCTGTAAGTGTAAATTATCTAGGAAATAAATAGATATATATTTTTATTAGCGAGAAATTGCCATCAAAACAAGTAATATTAACTAAGAAACACATGGGTCGTAGAAAGTCTAATGGCCTCTTCGTTGCGTTATCTTTTAGAGAAGGTTGGATGATCGTCGCGTGCTCAAAAGGACGGGATTATCTGACTCTCTGATTGAGTGAATCTGGAATGGACGGCACTCCAAGTGTCTTCAACATTTTCAGGCCAACAGAAAACAATTTAATAGCTTCCAAAGCATCTTTTCAACTATTTTGTATCAAATATTGAATATAGATAAGACGATTCGGGTGAAAATTGGCTTGCAGCAATATTCCATAATGTGCCGAAAGTAATGAGACTTTCGATAAAAGGAGCGTGCCCAGTTCTTTGAACCTGAATTCATGCCGTATTTTGGAATCTAATAAAGACCAACAATCCGTGCGTCATTTTTTCTAATCGTTAAATAGACTGTAAAGCTGAAATCTTTGAATATCGTAATTAGGAAAGCATTTACTGCTTTACAGCACCCAAACAAAAATGTCACAGAGAAGGTTAGAGTTTCGACATTAAAGGAAACGACTATGTAAAAACACTCTGCCTCTTTCGAACTGGGCCATTTTTTCTGACAGAGAAGAATGGTAGAGTTATGATTGTCAAGGTGCTTAATGAAAATGAACCATTATCTGGGTTGATCAGTAGTGCTCTATCACTTTATCTGTAATTATGAATTTCCGAGAAGCCGCTGGCCTACAGTTAGATAAATACCGTCCTGCTGTTCTGTTTCTTTATTCTGTTAAATAGTTTTACACGACCCGTCACCGAATACTGCAGCCAAATTATCCAAATTACGTGTTAAATATATCTGAAAAAAGTATTCACGCGATTATCCTGCTGGCATCACTTAGATTATGAAAAGACCTAAGATTTCTGTAGCTTAATATAATTGATACCTTTTGAAGTCCTTGAGAAAAATAACTTTCTAACTGTTATCGATCAAGGGGGTATAATATGACGATGCATCCTTGATTGCAGGTATTGAGTACGAGATTTTTCTGAAGACCTGAGCTTTATGAATACCGAGTCGTCCAAGAAATGACTGCGAGACAAAAGAACAACCTCTTGAAGTGGACGGTGAATGAAATTGTTGTTTTTCTTCTTTCTCTGGAATTCAATAAGGTTGTGATAGGTAAGTTATATCATCACTTCCTATTACAAAAAGGTCAAGATAATTTTCATAAACCAACAACGTATTTTTCATATTTTACTTTTGTCATGTGTTAAGGAAAAGTAATTCAAAAAGTGGATGCCTGGATTGATATATATTTATGGACTTATTTTGGTTGTAAATGATGCTAATATCAAATGTCTCAAATATTAATTGTATTATAAATTATATAATTGAGAACTTTCTACGATGTTGAAAATTCCTTATTGCTGTTACCCTTAAAAATCTACACAACTTTTTATCATTTTCTAGGACATTATTGTGAAATTTTGAATGAAATATTAAAATCTATGCGACTAAACTTATTCATTTTACTGATATAAAAATGGATTTGGTTGTTATTTTCATGATTTTTGAAGAAAGTTTGTTTGTATCGTCTGTCCTTCATTCAATCTCCAAAGAACACAAAGATTAATGAGCATCATTTTTTGAATTACAAACTTTTGCCTGGTCATTGCAGAAATGGCCATGTACTCGAATAGATATTCCATATATTTTAAATTTCAGAGATGCTTATCACCTGCGATTAACAGAAAACATACAAAAAATAAGAAGTATCATCTTATTGTTAAAGCTTTAAAAAAAACAACATAAAATCGATTCTTTTTAATTGCATGCAGAAATCATCTCTGATGTTTACATTTATATCATAATTATGTAAAAAAAAAATGTTACTTTGAATATTTTTTTTATTTAACATGTTTTATTTCAAGACTAGTGATAATTAAATCCTCATAAAAACGATCTGCAAATACGTTAAATTTGGCTTCTTGCAGACTTGGGACAAACGATCCATTTATTCAAAGGAATCAAATCCCCTTATCCTTACACACGTGTCTAATGTAACCGAGAAGAAAATCTGTCAATATATTGTAAAATAAATACTGAAATGTTTACATAAAACTTTTTAGTTTTAAAAAAATACAGAAATCGTGTATAAAAACATGGACATTTTTCAAAGTACACTTGTGCTTGTTGTTTTTGTCTTTCTTTAGGACATAGTCAACGTACCTTACCTACTGATAATTTTTCAAGATATTCTTAATGTAAGATTACAGTGCCATCAGATGTTCGTAGACAAAAAATCAGCATGCATTACCAGGGTTTTTGAAAAGATATCAATAGTTGAAAATTCATGTATAATTCAAAGAAAAATATACAAAAATTAATAAACATATATTCTAGATGTTTTGTTTATCCAAACTTGTTTTAGAAGATGTTTACAACGGCATATATACTCATTAAAATGTAGCACAAGTTCCTTTTCGTATTGGTACTCCTCAACTCCAGCTAGGGAAAAAGACAATAAAGTTCAAACTACGTTGCGTATGTCCTTAATGTTTAATTGTCAACAGGTAATATACTCCTAATGTCTTTCTTTACATTTTCTCCAACACTATTCCGGATTTCATCATTCTCCTTGTTTGATAAGATTATTTATTATTATATTGTATAGTAAACACAATAATTTTGGGAATGTAGAGATTTTTTCGAGAGTATTTTATAAGGTATGTCACTCGTGATATGAGTTATATTAAGGATTTAATGAGAAGTATATTTTTTAAGCATGCCAGTGACTCAAAATTCTGGGTCAATGTGCATCTCATTGAGCAAAAGTATATTTTAACCTTAAATTGTAACTTTTAGGTCAATCACTTTAACCTTTATCATATTTACCAAATATAATCATGGCAATAAATATAATCTTGAGTTATGTGAAATTAATACATGTAGTTTACTATACATTATTGAAAAAAATCCTTCAAATTAATGCGCGTACAGTATTGTGTGACCTTTTTTGCGCTAAAAAAAAAAGAAATCAAATTTGGGGTATTAAAAATCTAGATAGGCAACAGAGTATTTTCTTGTTATCAAGCTTTTTTATGACTTTAGTGCTGATCGGTTGAATGTTTCGTGTAATTTAAAATACTGAAAGAAAAAGTTTGGGTATATTGTGTAAATTAGGAGATATTGGTCAAAATATGTGATTTTCAGGAGAAAAAAAAATGTGAATTTTATCTTGACTTCTTAAATATATCTTCATTTTTTGGCAAAGTCTGTTGAATGAATGTGTAAAATTTGTTGTAAAAACATTAATTGAAACCTATATTTAATATTTCAAGCAAGTAATAGCGAAAAAAATTCTCCAAGTAAAAATATGTAGGGCTAAAGTTCAAATGTATAGACTTGAAGAATTTTCGTCTACATATCCGTCCACCACAAGAAATAGTACCCCATAAATCTTGTTTCTTTACAATTTTTGAGCAGTTTTTAAATTGAATATTTTATAATTTGCATTGTTTAATTCAAATATGTCATAAAAATTGAATTGTAAAAAATAATTTTGAAGTTAGAGGTTCTGAATAAACTTTTCTAAACAGCTGAACAGTGACATACTGTAAGTCACTTAGTTGTTGACGTACATTTGAGACATACTGACACAGTTCATTTTATTAATCTCATAAGATTTTTAAGCGTTACCTAGGCAATATGGTGCTGAGCAAAAAAGAAAGAAAATCCTACCCATGATTTGTGAAAAGTTTCTAGCAACAATTATATCAAATATATCTTCTAACTGAAGGCGTTGTTATGTTCTCGACATGAGAGGTGGACAGATTCGATAAGAAAAGGAAACGAGCGATTAAGGAAACATCAGACGATAAAAATGATGATATTTAATTGCATAATTCTAATGAAGACAGTAGCTATTTCCGCAATATTTCTACAACACCCACACTTATTGAAATATTCACATGAATTAGAACGTGTTTACACGTTAACTTCAGAAACGTGAGATAATTGCAGGTATGTGGATAACTAGTACCCGGTCTGTCAAACAACGCAAATCCTGAAGAAAAAAAATCTATTAGAATGGAGAGATGAAAAAGATTGGTGGAGAAACTTGATGTATTGTAAACATACATGTACCGCATTTCAGTGTTCAAAGCAGCATTTTAATACTGTTATCTACAGTGTAGTTTTTTTCCAAGAAGAGATTGCGAGCTGAGGACCTTTTTATTTTTTTTAATTACACTTCTTAATAAATAGAGTGAACTTGTTTAATACTTACATAAAAAAAATCTTCAGTTTCACACATTGATTCAGTAGAGTACATGTATTCATTGTTCTCTGTTATATAATATTTACAGCACAGGTTTTTGGAATCGCTTCAATTCGACTGACAAAACTTGGGGTATTAAAAATATATCTCTCTTATATCCATTTTTTGAAAGTAGGAATAAGCGATCCAAAGGCCTGTGAACTGAAATGTACACCAGAAAGTATATTAGCTATTGCTCTAACTATTTAAACTACATGTATTATTATTCAAAGATATTATCCCGCCTTGTGATAAAGCCATGTATCGACTTACGATCTTTGGAAATATATACATTTGTTGTCTGTCCCAGTTCTAAAATCATGCAGACATTTAAAAAAATATATTGTTTCATTTTGAAAATTCGTGAAATATGACCTGATACTTTCATCCAGGCATATTTCCTCGTTCTAACAAGTTTCTATCCTCATGAACTTTAAAACTGAAATGCAAAACTTTACTTGTATTCCAACTATTTTCAAAGATTTCAATTTCAAACTTCATTTTGAGACATTTTAAATTAAATAATAATTTTAAGAGTTATCGTTCCTGGCTGAGGAGTGGATATCCTTAAATGTGCCTTCTGGGTTATTGTTCATGAGAATATGAACTAAGATGATTTTAAAGAGACAACATATTATCAACTGTATAAGTAATGTATCAGTACTAGATTGGGTAAAATACAGAGCTGTCAACAACATAAAACAAAAACAAATCGTAAGAATAGATCCACGGGACATTTAGACCCCCAGTCGCTCAATATTTTTCTATTTTGTATATGTTACAATGTTTGACATCATAAGAAAGTACAGAAATGGTAAATGACAATACAAGAAAGCGTTATAAGGAATATGACTTTCTTACTTGAATAGTGAAAACTAAAGGCAGGCAGATGATGAAAATGCCGGTATTTTGACGGACAGAAACGGAAATCGTTAAGGATAAATAGATAAATTATAAGGCGTATTTTAGACGATCAAACCGTAAGCTTAACGCCTAAATCGTAAGGGTTGGCAACTCTGAAAATGGTAAATTAATTTATTCATGATTTAACGGTAAATTTAAATTGTTTAGACATATATTCACATTTGAATTTCAATAAAGAAAAACTAATAGTGGCAAAAGGAAAACGGAAAATCGGGGGGGGGGGGGGGGGTTGCAATGAACAGAAACGTCAAAGCGTTTAAGTTGGATATGAAATTCATTTCACTTGACATTTCAATGTAATACATGTATATATAATTCTCTCTTTCTTCTTCTTTACTTATATGTATATACCATAATTTAGCATGTAAGAATATACAGTACCAGGATACTTTGTTAATAATTATATACTGTAATTATAAACTAAGAGTGTGTCCCTAATTATGATGATGCTGTAGCAGTATGCCATTCTTTAGAATATGTGGTGTTGGTATGTGCATCTGATATCGAAAATTTATAATGTCAGCATATCTCTGACTGATAATACTTACATAGCGTTGGATGCTTTTAATAAGAATGATATTTTACTAATTTTCTATAAAAATGACATAATACTAATTGATTTGAACAATCTAAATCTTTCATAATTAAATGTACAAGAATGCCTCTTATAATAAGCAGACAGAACTTATATGCAACTTTACAGTAATTATGTTGCGTTAGTATACCTCAATTCGTTATTATATAGATGTAACGCACAGAATTGGGGCTGATTTTGTAAGGTCAAAGTTGCGTCATTCAACTCTAAAAGTTGACGTCCAAGTGTTGGAATATACATTATATCTTTTATATTGCGAATAATTGGTTCAAAATAAAGATGCATAAATTACTATATTAATACTGTAATTACAGTCTGACTAACAATGAATATAGTGATTGCATGTACAGCATGTATTTATTTTGAAAAGTTCTACGCCAGCGTACATGGTCTATAGTGTAACAGGTCGTTTTCCTTTTTTATATATCTGTATACTGTCGAATGATTTCATACTGGTCAAAGCCTTTTTCAGGCCCGCAAAAAATTGAAAATATATTATACAAATATGTTTAAACTGTATTGTGATAGAAATTTAACAAACCCTGGTTATATAGTATACAGAAAATCTGCAATATGTGTTGTTTATAAAATGTATGGTATATAAATTATAAATCGATAACCACGATTGTACAAGAAATATTTCAAGATCAGTTTATTAAAAAAAATGGTTCAGTGATGTAAATAATTCATCAAAAGGAAACATTGACAAAATCTTCAAGAAGAACTTTGGATTTGAAAAATATATCTATAAGTTATCTCTCAAAAGAGATGTACTTTTAAAATTTCGCTCTGCAAATTATCGTCTCCCAGTAGACAATGGAAGATGGTATGGTATACCACTTTGCGGAAGAATCTGTACACTCTGTAATACTTCTCAATTGCTGACGAATTTCATTATATCCTAGAATGTTAACTCAAAATGAAAAAAATCCTGAAAAAACTATGTTTATTTTAAAACTTTATGATGCTGTCTGTCCTCCTTGATATATTTCCTCCCTTTTTTTTCTTTTTCATATTTACTCATTTTCTGTAATCTTTTGTATTGTATGTGTGCCTCTGACCAATTTGTATAAAATGTATGTATGTTATTAATGTATCCCATGTACCAATATTTTGGTTTGGGTAAATAAATTGACCTTGATGGTATATAATGTTAGTGTTAGTATACCTCTAATTATAGCTAGAGTGTAAGTACTGGTAATTATTATTTGGCGTTTAGTAGGCCTGTAATAACAATTATATATAGTACAAGTTTGACTTGTATATTCTAAAAGATCTTATGAAAGAGAAGATATTTTAATAACATTATTTGCCGGAAATAAAATGTAAGCTTAGTGCTCAGATTTTTATACCTGTACTTTCTAAAGAAAGTTCGGTTATTTTTTTATTGTTACCCTTGTTTGTCCGTCCGTCCGTCTGTCACAATTTCTTCTTCCTCAAACCCTGCTTACAATATGATATATTTACTCAATACAAAAACCTAGTTCTCAAATTTAGGCAGTAGTCGGAAAGATGATTGGTGTGCAATAAGGTTTCGGAGTTTACATGTTCACTCTGGGAACCAATGGGGTCGAAAATAACGTTTTCTACAAAACCTTGGTTCCCAGAACCACTTATACATTTTACGCTGTAGCCAAATCGTCTTTTGGAAGATGGTTGTTGGTGTCCTGTAGATGTGCAAGAAGGTTTTGGAATTTTCATTTTCACCCAGGGGTCAAATGGGGAGTTCGAAAAACGACTTTTTTTACAGAAAAATCCTGGATCTCAGAACTCCTCTTACATTCTACCCTTTAGCCAAGTCATCTTTTGGACAATGATTGCTGATGTCCTGGTGTGCAATAAAATTTTGAAATTTTCATTTCATTTCTATGAAAATTTGCTTGCATAAATATATTTTTCAGAATTGTTTTAGAAACCATTTATAAATTATTCTAAAGAAGATAGTTATTCGCAAAATTATATTTTGGTCTTAGTCACAAGTTCTTTTGTAATTCGGGCCCTTGATTTCCAGAACTCCTCTTAGCCAAATCATATTTATACCCGCACTTTCTAAAGAAAGTTCGGGTACATTGTTATTATCCAGGTCCGTCTGTCACACTGAATCTTCTTCCTCAAACTACTCTTACATTTTAAGGAGTAGCGTATTCATCTTTTGGAATATGATTGGTGGTGCCCTGAACATGTGCAATTTTTTTTTTCACCCCGAGGGTCAAATGGGGGTCAAAATGACGTTTTTTTTCTTTTAAAAAAAATTGGTTCCCTGAATTCCTTTTACATCTTTTGCTGTAGCCCATTCATATATTGGAATGTGATTGGTGTGTCCTGTGATGTGCAATAAGATTTAAGAATTTCGATTTTCATCCTTGGGGCGACTGGGGGTAAAAAAAAAACCCCAACACTTTTCTTTTCCTACACAATCCTGGTTCCCTGAACCCCTCTTACATTTTTTGCAGTAGCCCATTCATATTTTGGAATATGATTGGAAGTGTCTTGTAGATGTGCAATAGAGTTTTGAAATATAGATTTTAACCTTGAGGGACGACTGGGATCTTGACAACTCTTAGGTTGTTAACCCCCCCCCCCCTTTCTACTGAAATTGCTTCGTACATTGAATTCATTGAAATAATAAATATCTGTACGAATGTACAATTGTTATCTGATTATCTGACTGAAAAATACCGTTCATTTTATCTAAATACGCTTAATCAAAATCTCTGGTGGCCTGACCTTTTTTTCTCATAACCCTAATATGTGTGCATGTGATCGATTTTTATCACTTGATGCCATCGAATACATTTAATTCTAAATCAATTAAAAGGGTAAATTTTAGAACATAAAAAGCTTGCCCTGAGGTTTAATTAAGGAATTTTGTACAAACAACAAATTCAGATCTGAAATTAATTGACATTAAATGTATGCACAAATATGTTTTCATTCATAATTTGATACATAATCATATGATCATGGGAGAGTCTACTCTTGGGCAGTAAAGCTGAACTATTTTCTTATTTTATCAACTTGAATATAAAATTTCTATTAAGTTGCACATTTTTAACTGAGTAAAAATGATTAAGTCGACTATCGGTACGACAGAGCGATAGTCGAGTACTGGAATACTCGTTGACATCCCCAGTTGCTAAGGATAGTGCTCTTAGTAAGTCTATCATAAGCACATGATACTCCCAACTGCAATTTGAAGGTGTATTTTGACTACAGACATTTTATGATAATATATTTCTAAAGTGGGCTATTTTAGTATCAATTTATTTTTTAAGACTGTGCAGGTTATCTTTATTGTTCAGCAAACGAAACTCTTCTTTTAAAAGACTAAACAGGATGCTGAATATTGAAAAAAATTTAAAGAAAAAAAGGAAAATATAGGACCCAAATTTGAATTACCTCCTTTGTCAACACTCAGTTAAACACAGTCATCTTCAGAAATTACAAATGATAGTTTATAAGTTAATTGAAACTTTAACAATGACTATTCGTTATAGGGATAGTTCCGCCTGGAGGAATTGAGGGTTTGTGGATCACAGATGTGAGTCTCAACGATAAAGTAAAGGATGACACGTACTTATGGATGCGGGCACCTGTCAGTAGGATGCAGTGTGCGTTAGAGTGCACAGCGGATACACGCTGTCTGTCTCATTTTTACAAAGAAACCAGCGCCACCTGCATTGCACAAGATGAAAAACTGGACTCCATGACCGTTCGAAATTCCTCTGGATTCTTAGCCTATGGCTTCCAAAATCCACGTATGATGCTACAATACTTCGTAGAAATATAGCCTACAGTTTTATGCTCACCTGTTGCTAAAGTTCATACAAAATTGATCAAAGACTGTCCTTCTGTCTGTCTGACAACTTTTTATATGTCTCTTACCGTGAAGTTTTCTTTAAACTTAGCATGTTGGTGTGTATAACTTAAAAGAAATGATCTCCCTTTTTGCCTTACAGTCAAAGGGTAGATAAGACAATCTTTTTGGGCCATAAGTTAATATTTATCTTTTGACCTGGGCTTATGATATTTAGCAAGTTGGTTTATCTTTATTATTCAAATCAACAGCCAAAAAGACACAAAGTAATTGTAATTTTTTTTTCAATATAACTATGTCTATAAAGACTAACCTCTGTATTTTAGCGGAATGTGGTGCTCCTTTTCTGTTTGACCGCCCTGCCAATCTGTGTTTCTGGAGGTCAGACGTAAAGGGCAACAGAACGACAGCACAGCAAGTGTGTGGTGCATATGGCGGTTCATTGGTTACCATAGATACAGTTGCCAAGAGAAGTGCCGTGTTGTCATACCCCAATTTTGGTACTAGATTGAAAGAAATCATGACAAATTTGAATAGTAACCGTTTCTTTGATTATTTTATTGTATTAATTGGAACTTTTGAAGTACTCAAAATCTTTCACAACGTTTGACAGCGTTAAGTTCATTTTTCAGCTAATACGCCTACAGGATGGCAACCATCCTTTCTGATTGATGGAAATGACGAAAATCAAGAAATGGACTTTCGGTTCAAGGATGGAAGTCCAGTTCCTTCGACCTTTTGGTCAGGTGGCTATCCAAGGAATAACACGGCAGAAAATTGCATTCACATTCCAACCTATGACCCCAACGGACTTTTTATACACTATGAGTGCCATAATAGTAATTATTACTTTGTCTGTCAGAAGCCCTAAACTTATTTGGGAAGGAAAAATTTGAAGAATATATACAAAGGAAATTTATTTAAGGGAAAACTATATTGTTGAATAATTCACTTTGCATTGGCTTTGCTTTTTGTTTAGCCATTATAGTTTATATCATCATATGCTAAGAAACTATCTCAATGAATGTACTATTACGTTATGATGTGATATGTGATACGATGTTACAGCAAGTTAATGTTAGAGTACTCTATCCAGTGATATTGCAATTTTGCATATTAAAAACAATGTTCAGTTGTGCAGTTTTTTTGCACTTTATATAGCTTAAATACATGGAATGTATTAAGATCTTTCAATGTCAATGTGAATTTGTTGATTTATGTTGAAAATTGTGAAATTCATGTTTACTCGCTGTGTTGTCTTAATTTCAATACGTTTAACTGTCAAGGAGACTTTTAGTAGTTCTTGCTTGATTTTTCCGATATTCTTTAAAAGGACAACATTCTTCTTTCATTATTTCAGATAGAAAAATCAACTTCATAATTAATTTTAAGCAATTTAATTTTTTTTTAGAAATATGTTTTGAATGATAATTTTTATTTAAAAAAAAAAACATTGACATAAAACTTCTTTATTGCTGATGCTGACGTCTATATGTATCGACTTTTTAATTAGATGTCACAATCTATTTATATTAACAGTACTAACACTTTTCACTGCGCTCAGATCTTGATGTAGCCTACGTTTAAAGTAGATTTTATTCATATCTTTGAAACTAGTCAGACAAACGGTATTATAAAATTTACTACAGATTATTTTATTGTTTTGGTAACCTTGGCAACACTGCTTATCAAAATTTACTTTAGAATGACGTTATCTTGATGTTTTCTCAATATAAACATAATTTTCTTGCAATGAGACAAAATTTTGAAATAATGTGGAAGATACTAGTATCTTATTTTTCAATGTCCATGGCACGAATTTAATCAAAAGATAACCAATTAATCGGATTATATATCTTGATCTTTTCATAGCTGTCTCAAGTCTGCGTAGAAGGAATCAAACTGAAGCAGGAATAGTCTGAAGAAATTTATTATTTAACTTCGAACTTTTTTAAATCCATGGTAACACTACATCAAATTTAAAGATAAACACACATAATCATGTATTTAAATGTGTTTTATTCGTGTTCTTAGTCTCATAGAAATAAACCAATAGATATTTTACTAGAGAAAGACATTGACGGAAAACTAATAACTAAACTTTATGATAAACGTGATGACTTAAACTTTTCCATTGTTAACTTCCCTTATTTATATAGTAAAGGCCATTTTTCACCAGCGTTTGGTGTTTATGTCTCCCAATTGTTTCGATACGCAAGAGCATGTTCTATGTTTGAACAGCTTCTAAACTGAAGAAAGCTACTGAAAAATAAGTTTATGGTTACAAGGGTTTCAACAATCTTATTAAAAGTCAGTATTTCGCAAATTCTATGGTCGATTCATTTATTTTGTGTGCAAATACAGTCTGTGGTAAGGCCGAATGTTGATTGACATATTTAATACAGATTGCCCGGCCATTACTTTCATACTTAATTGTTTACGGATTACTCAGTGTACCAGATCAAGACAAAGGACTTACGTTTTTTGGTTGATAAGGGATACTTACTCCTCCTTGACACCTGATCCTATGTCGGATGTTTTCAGAAGTCTGTTTATTGCTTATCTGACTAGGATTACTGTTCAGTATCTTTACCATTAAGGGCGAAAACAGATTATAGTATTCTAAGAAGTCATTTTAACACCATTGATGTAGTATACTTGTGCATCGATCACACAAAAAGCAGATCAAGACTATTTAATTATGCAAATGTATATGTAAAATATATGCTTACTCTTCCTAGGCACCTGACCCCAGGATCATGAAGCAGTCTTTGAAATAACTAGACTGAAGCTAGCAGCCAATAACAGCAGCCATTAAGCCCGTAGAAGCTAGCAGCCACTAAGGAAATTCATCAAAGGACTGAGAGTACTCTGACGCAATACTGTTTAATGCCTCATTTTCGACAATTTATAATTAATAATTAGATAATTAATGCAACACTTAATTATTAATTAATAATTCAAACACTTGGAGGCAGTTAAGCTCACCTGCATAAGGAAAATTATGCGGTTTCACAACAAACAAACAAACAAACAAAAAGAAGAAAATGTCACCATCTTTGACCGCTTAAGAATAAAACAGCATTGGATAGGTTAAGTACTTCCGGGAGAATCCCTTTTAGGCTCTTTTACGGGTCTCAGGAACATGATGGTGCCAAGAGGCTAACCTGAAATTTGCTTACTCCTAAAATTTACATTGATAAGGGTTTGAAGGTAATTTAATCTATTTTAAGTTATGATCCTTGAAGTGTGCTTCGAACAATTACTGGCTCAAGGTAAAAGGGTCCACAGGGCTATTATATACGGCCATAAAATTTAGGCTGAAGTGGTACCACCAAGTGGTGCCAAGGACGGGTTACATATTTCAAGCAGCTATTATACCTCTTATCTTATAAGTGTGCTTTAAATCATTACTGTGCAAGATAGAAGATTTCTAGGACTATCTTTCCCGCAATCGGTTTGAGGCTGTAACGGCACCACCAAGTGGTGCCAACGGTGGGGAACATCTTTCATGCTTTCATTTTTCAACCATCATTGACCACTAGAACAAACTAACACTAAACTGGAAAAAAGTTAAGGGCCTTAGGGAGTATCCTTTGTCAACTTTTTGACAGGTTCCAATGACTAGAAAAGGCCAGTTAGGTAACCCGAACTTTGTTGTTTTTCACATTGTCTATTGATATACAGATTAAAAGTCAGATGTTATACCCCTTATCTTTGAAGTGTGCTTCAAATCATTACTGGGGCAAGGTAGAGAGCCCCTAGGACTATCATTTCCCGCTATCAGAATGTTGCTGTAGTGGTACCACCAAGTGGTGCCATGGGTGGGGTACGTATTTCAAGCATTCATTTTGAAAGCATCTTTGACTACTAGAACAAAGTAACACTAGTGAAAGGTTAAGGACTTTAGGGAGAACCACTTGCCAGGTTTTGGAAGTGTCCCTAGGAAAGGAAGGGGCCAGTAAGCTAACCTGAAATTTGTTGTTTTTCACTTTGTGTTGTAATATACGGGTTAAAGGTCAGCTATTATACCTCTTATCTTTGAAGTGTGCTTCAAATCATTATTGGGGCAAGGTAGAGGGTCCCTTGGACTATCATTTCCCGCTATCAGAATGTTGCTGTAGTGGTACCACCAAGTGGTGCCATGGGTGGGGCACGTATTTCAAGCATTCATATTGAAAGCATCTTTGGCTACCAGAACAAAGTAACACTAGTGAAAGGTTAAGGACTTTAGGGAGAACCACTTGGCAGGTTTTGGAAGTGTCCCTTGGAAAGGAAGGGGCCAGTAAGCTAACCTGAAATTTGTTGTTTTTCACTTTGTGTTTTAATATACGGGTTAAAGGTCAGCTATTATACCCCCTTAACTTTGAAGTGTGCTTCAAATCATTACTGGGGCAAGGTAGAGAACCCCTAGGACTATCATTTCCCGCTATCAGAATGTTGCTGTAGTGGTACCACCAAGTGGTGCCATGGGTGGGGCACGTATTTCAAGCATTCATTTTGAAAGCATCTTTGGCTACTAGAACAAAGTAACACTAGTGAAAGGTTAAGGACCTTAGGGAGAACCACTTGCCAGGTTTTCGAAGGGTCCTGTTGAAGAAAAAGGGCCAGTAAGCTAACCTGAACTTTGTTGTTTTTCACTTTGTGTTTTAATATACGGGTTAAGGGACAGTTAATATACCCTTTATCTTTGAAGTGTGCTTCAAATCATTACTAAGGCAAAGTAGAGGGCCCCTAGGACTATCATTTCCTGCTATCAGAATGTTGCTGTAGTGGTACCACCAAGTGGTGCCAAGGGTGGGGTACGTATTTCAAGCATTCATTTTGAAAGCATCTTTGGTTACTAGAACAAAGTAACACTAGTGAAAGGTTGAGGACCTTAGGGAGAACCACTTGCCAGGTTTTCGAAGGGTCCTGTTGAAGAAAAAGGGCCAGTTAGCTAACCTGAAATTTGTTGTTTTTCGTTTGTGTTTTAATATACGGGTTAAAGGTCAGCTATTATACCCCTTATCGTTGAAGTGTGCTTCAAATCATTATTGGGGCAAGGTAGAGGGCCCCTAGGACTGTCATTTGCTGCTATCAAAATGTTGCTGTAGTGGTACCACCAAGTGGTGCCATGGGTGGGGACGTATTTCAAGCATTCATTTTGAAAGCATCTTTGGTTACTAGAACAAAGTAACACTAGTGAAAGGTTAAGGACCTTAGGGAGAATCACTTGCCAGGTTTTCGAAGGGTCCCGGGAAGTAAAAAGGCCAGTAAGCTAACCTGAACTTTGTTGTTTTTCACTTTGTGTTTTAATATACGGGTTAAAGGTCAGCTATTATACCCCTTTTCTTTGAAGTGTGCTTCAAATCATTACTGGGGCAAGGTAGAGGGCCCCTAGGACTATCATTTCCTGCTATCAGAATTAGACTGTAGTGGTACCACCTAGTGGTGCCATGAGTGGGGGACGTATTTCAAGCATTCATTTTGAATGCATCTTTGGCTACTAGAACAAAGTAACCCTAGTGAAAGGTTAAGGACCTTAGGGAGAACCACTTGCCAGGTTTTGGAAGTGTCCTTAGGAAAGGAAGGGGCCAGTTAGCTAACCTGAACTTTGTTGTTTTTCACTTTTTGTTTTAATATACGGGTTAAAGGTCAGCTATTATACCTCTTATCTTTGAAGTGTGCTTCAAATCATTATTGGGGCGAGGTAAAGGGTCCCTTGGACTATCATTTCCTGCTATCAGAATGTTGCTGTAGCGGTACCACCAAGTGGTGCCATGGATGGGGCACGTATTTGAAGCATTCATATTGAAAGCATTTTTGGCTACCAGAACAAAGTAACACTAGTGAAAGGTTAAGGACCTTAGGGAGAACCACTTGCCAGATTTCCGAAGGGTCGTGTTGAAGAAAAAGGGCCAGTAAGCTAACCTGAACTTTGTTGTTTTTCACATTGTGTTTTTATATACAGGTTAAAGGTCAGCTATTATACCCCTTTTCTTTGAAGTGTGCTTCAAATCATAACTGGGGCAAGGTAGAGGGCCCCTAGGACTATCATTTCCTGCTATCAAAATGTTGCTGTAGTGGTACCACCAAGTGGTGCCATGGGTGGGGGACGTATTTGAAGCATTCATTTTGAAAGCATCTTTGGTTACTAGAACAAAGTAACACTAGTGAAAGGTTAAGGACCTTAGGGAGAATCACTTGCCAGGTTTTCGAAGGGTCCCGGGGAAGTAAAAGGGCCAGTAAGCTAACCTGAACTT